CTAACAGTTTTTGTATTCCAGGTTCAAAGACCTTAAATGGAGGATCTGACACTCAAGACAGTAGTCATCCACAACACAATGGTGACAGTAACGAAGACAGCAAAGACAGTCATGAGGCCAGCAGTAAGAAAAAGTAAGGGCAGTAAGACAAGTAATGAGGGGCTGGAGAAATGGCTCAGATGTTAAGAGCACTCCTTTAGTGGACTTGGTTTGATCCCCAGCACCCATAGAGCAGCTCACAACTGTCCTACCTCCAGTTCCAGAGGACCCATTACCCATTTCTGGCTTTTAGGCACCAGACCTTCACATGGCACACAGAAGCAGGTTCAGGAAGAACACTCATACAAAAATAATAGGACAATTTTGAAGGGTCATGGTTTTTTGCTCAGTCTGGCTTCAAACTCCTGAGCTCTAGAGAGCCTCCTGCCTCGGCTTTCCCAGTTGTTGGGACTACAGAGGTGTACCATTGTACTTGGCTCAAAAAAAATCCATCCCCTCTCTGCCCCCACCCCTCTACAGGGTTTCTCTGTGTTGCTCTGGCTGTCCTAGAACTTGGTCTGTAGATCATGCTGGCCTCAAACTCAGATGCCTGTCTCCCAAGTGCTGGGATTAAAGGTGTATGCAACCACCACCTGGCTCTTTTTTGGGGGTGGGGGTGGGGTTCAAGACAGGGTTTCTCTCTGTATAGACTTGGCTTTCCTGGAACTCGCTTTGTAGACCAGGCTGGCCTCAAACTCAGAGAGATCCACCTGCCTCTGCCTCCCGAGTGCTGAGATTGTAGTTATTTACCACCACGCCTGGCTTTTTTTTTTTTTTTTTTTTAAACTCATGATCTTAGCACAATAATACTGCCCCAGACTTTTTCCTAAGACTTAACTATGCTAGGGAAACACTGGATCCCTGAGCTCTATGCCCAGTAATAGATATTTTTGTTTAATACTCCCTTTCCGACAAGATCTCACTCTGTACTTTGTGTCCCTGTCTGTCATGGAATTTGCTATGTAAACTAGGCTAGTCTTGAACCCACAGAGAAGTCTGCCTCATTAATTTTCTTTTTTTAAAAGTCATGAATAAAAAAGGCAGGAGGGACTGGAAAGGTGGCTCAGTGCACTGGCTGCTCTTCCACGGGTCCTGAATTCAGTTCCCAGCATCCACATGGTGGCTCACAACCATCTATGAGATCTGATACCCACTTCTGATGTGTGCAGGGGAACATGCAGAAAGAACACTCCCATTTATTTAAGGAAATAAAAGACAGTAGGAAGAGCTGGAGCTGTTTAGTAGTAGTGCTCTTAGCTAAGGCTGAGTTCAATGAACCCTGGCACCAGAAAAGAGGTTACATAGTGAGGCCCTGTCTCATCCCCAACACCCTAAAATGGTTTATAGAGACAAGGTTTCCCTACATTGCCCAGGTCAGCCTTGAATTTGTAGCAGTTCTCCAGCCGTAGTCTGTTTGGGATTACAGATTGTATAATTATTACCCCTATATTTACTCAGGAAAATGGATCTCAGTAGGAACTCTGAAAGAAAACTAGTTTTCTTTGAAATTTCTTCGCACTTTCTTAAATTGTTAGAATATTAAATTGCAAGTATCACTATTTTATACTACATTATTTGTCTAGTTCTTATTTTATGTTGTCATCACAGATACAAATTCTGTTTAAAGTTAGATGCCTCCTTGGGTTATCTCCCCAGATCTATGTATTACTTTAACAACATACATGTCACAAGTGTTTTGTGATTTCATTTTTTTTTTAAATAGGACTTTTTTTTTTTCTTAAATAGGATTTAAAGCCCTTTTTATTCAAAAGAAAACCCTCAAGTCTTGTGACAGCTTTCGTTTCTCCCTTTGTTTTAGGTCCCCCGGAGAAGAGAGAGAGGCCGAAGTATCTCTGAAGGAGTCACCACTTGATAACTAGGTTGGCGGACGTGGGGTGTAAAGATGATGTGAAGTCTGTTGTGAGTGGCTTCATTTGAAATCCTTAGGCTGCTGAAAGGGTTAAATTTTTATAAGCATAGGTTTTGATGTTTAAGTAGTTTGGGGGAAGAAAATCCCTTTATGTTTGTGTAAAAGTAAAACTTATTGCTCATTTTCCGTGTGCAGTATTAACAGCTCCATCATCCAGTTCAAATGTGAGGGAAACCTACTTAGAAAGGTTCACCCGCTTTATAGACATGACTAGTGTATTTCAGTTAGAGTCTGTGTGTGTCCATGTGTAATTGGTAGTAGGCCAGTTACATTTTAAAACTGCTCTTGTGTAAATCGTTCCTCCTCTCCCAAGTACCGTGGGTTTTGTGCATAGTTTTTACAAATCTTGGATTTACCAGACTGTCTTTTCACTGTTTGTGGGTTTTTTAGAAGTGGAGCATTTTTATGGTTGATAAAATGAATGTGACTTCTAAGCACTCACTCCTTTTTATCAGAAGTTAACTTTAACCTCAATCTACTGTGCTGCATTAGCTTGCCTCTTTCTAATAATGTATAGTCTGTATGACAACTAGATGTCCAACTGATTGTTTTAGAAGGTACAAATTTCTAAACTTTGGCAAGTCATTTAGTTTTAGGGCTGGGAATTCAGTGGAGTCAGTACTAAAGAGAACAGACTGAGTATATATATATATATATAGGAAGTTCATCTATAATCCTTTATAGCTACTAATCACAAAAACATAAAATTGTTTTTAATCTTACACTCATTAAGAAGGTCACATGCATTAAGGTCTATCTATCTACATAGGTTTTTTTTAAAATTGTAATCAATCCATTATGCTTATAAGCGTTAAATATAAATAAATAAGGAAACTAACTTCATTGAAAACAGGGCCATATTAGAATGAGACTTGTATTTAGTTTCTGTATCAGACATCACAGGATTAGAAAAATAAAAGGTAGAAACATCAGTTGCTCCAAGGTAGTAACTAGATAGTCCATACACATAAATGTAGACTATCAGAGCCTGTTAAATTACGGAATAACATTTCAAAGGTATTCTGAGTAATCATGTCAGTTATTGGCTTCCAGTAGGAAGAAAGGTTCATCACTATGCTTTGAAATTTAATGGGAAAGTGACTTATGACCAATGTTTGTGTGTGGTGTGATTATATATGATCTTGACTTCCCAGATAATTATTTTCACTTATGTAAAGGATTTTGAATTATTCAATAATTGGACTTTTGCTCTCTACTGTTGTGGGCAATGCTGTACATTATATATACACCAGTCTTCTGTTTTGTCCTTAGTATGTTTTTAACTTGGACAAAAATTATTCTAGTTAAGCCATAAGTGTCAAATGTGTAAACTTGTTTTAATTAAAGTTGTTTTCTACCAAACTCTATTAGTAAATTATTACTGCTAATTGAGAAGAGTTACTGAAAGAATTGTCGATTTCCTGCTAAGAAAGTAGTGTCCTCCTTAGCCGTCACCGAGATCCTGTTAGGGGCTCAGGATCTATGCAGTAGTAAGCTCAGGAAAGCACTGTCACTTGCCTTGTATTGACTTCTTTCTTCCCTAAGCACAGGTGTTAGCTTCCTGAAGCAGCTCTAGAATATTCCACCTCAGAATGTTAGCAGCACTGTCAGTTTAGGTCCCTTCTTGGGTAGGCTGTCTGGCTTTGACCACGTATGTTCTTTTGAAGCACAGCTGCCTTCTTTTAATCTTGGAATTGTCTGTCGTAGGTAATTCGCAAGCAAGCTATCACTGTCAAAACTCTGTAAACAAAACTACAGCTGAAGTGAGAGATCTATTCAATGTGATAGCCACCTCTGCTGTGTACAGTGTGTATGTGTAACATGCATGCATAGATACCTATTTTGAATGTTAGTTTTCTCAGCTGCTTGGATCAATTTCAGATATTCCACCTTAATGAGATTCTGATTGCAAGTCTGTATCTATAAACAATTTGACCAGAGCTCATTAGACCACATTTGCTATTCTAACTAGGAATTCCATAGCATGATAGATTTTTACTAAGATGGTGATGTGGTACACTAAAAATTTTGCTATTCATATCCACTTACCTGATTAAAAATGCCAGGTGAAGATGGAGTCTGCCATCTACTCCTGTATGCAGAGCAAAGGCTTCAGTTAACAAACTTTAATCCATTGGTCAGAGAATGGACTATCTACCGCAAATAGCAAAATATCCTTAAATTTGCATTGTGTAATTCGCCAATAAATACTAGGCATGACTGCCCATGCTGTAAAATTACAAGGTATCGTTATCTTTAAAAGAATTGTGAAGCATAAGCAAGATGCTTGAGGAAACAGCCATTTTCTATACAGTGATCTTGTACAGGTATATTCATAGGGACGTTCACTGATAAGGTTGTGCCATTCATATTTACCTCTGTCCTTAGAGTGACACGTGAAATTTGTTATGTTGTATTTAAGAGATTGATATTGGCATAACAAAAACTGTCTGAAGTCAGGGGCTTAATACTTGTTAATATAAAGTTCAAATTCTTTTTATGTGAACTAGTTGGGATACCTATATAGTTGATAACTGCAGTAACCTGGTTAGTCTTTCCTCATTTCCACCATCAAAGAAATGGAAGGTGTGAACTTTTGGTAAAAAAGGAAGAATAGCATTCTTAATAAACAATAAGGATTCCATACAGTAATGTTTATCTCTTATGTCATCTTTGTCTATTAAAATGGGGTAATTGGCATTACACATGTATTAGAGATAACTAACTTCCTGGTATATCAAGATATTGAGTAAATCTTTCATTCATTATGAATGTATGATTCTGCAGAAGAATTCTTAGTGTACTTAATGTTAACACCATTCAATACAGGAAAGTAAGAAACTTAGGCACATAGTAAGTTAGCCCTGGTGAGTAAATGGTACCCTGTGTTGGCTAAACAAGAATACTTCTAGACATACCACATGCAGGCACTTGTCATCTCCATGTTAGTCGCCATAATTGGATTTGTGACATTTAAGTCCACGATACATGCTTCACCTTCTTTTAAACTTCACAATCTTAAACAGATGTGTAGGCTTCATTGGTTTATTTATAAGGTAATTATCTGTTCTTAGCAGCCATCTAGAGAAGACTCAGCTGAATTTAAATTAAACCTAGGACAGAGAAAGTAATGGTTAAAAGCCTATTTTATATTATTATTATAAATGTTCATTTTCTACCCTAAAAGTTTCCACAAAATATTTTGATAAAATCTGTTTAGCAGTTTTTGTTTTTCTATAGCTCTGAATTAGAAATGTAACTATGATTGTTACAGCAAGGGGACAGAAGAATGGAAGCACTGAACTGAAACGATTTTCTTTCTTCTTACTGATTTTCACATGCTCAAAAGTACTATGAAGATTAAATGAGCCACGGTAATGTAAAATTGCTATTGTTTTCTTTAGCCATAACTTTAAATGACATTTTAAACTCAACCCATTTGTGATTTCAAGAAATGGGCTACACTTTAAATAATACTATGAGTGTAACTTAAAATCTTTTTATAGCATCTGCCTTAAAATTATCACAGGAGCCCAAAATTAAATTGTAACTACTCCTAATATTCTGTTGGTCAAATAATTTGCTTTTAATTTCTCCTTACTACAGATATTTGAAGGGTCTTTACCTTGGACACTTCATAGTAGGAGGTGTAGCTCTCACATCCTTCACAGAGTTCTTTAAAAAGACTACTAGACTTGATGTATTGTTAACTGCATTCTATCATTAGCAAAACCCATTTGGGTACAGAATGCATAGGACTCGGAGAAAAGAATCAGAAGTTTTGTTTCCAACAAAGTTTATATATTCAGAATACAAAAGTATTTCTACATCTCAGTAACATAAACAATTTAATTAAAAGCCACAACACAAAACACTGTAATAAGTAAACTTTAGTGGGGGAAAAACGTTGTTTGGTGGTACTAATTAAAGGTTCCTGGGTCGACATAAGGATAAGCAAGGAATTCCCCTAGTTTGTTGCCTTCGGAATCATAGTGGAGCATCCTGAAGCAAACATCACAAAAGAAACATGGATCCTCCGGTGCAAAGGTGTCACTGTTCGTCACCCATCTGTAGGTGGAAAAAAACATGTATGTTGTATTACAGCTGGGTTTGTTTGTTTGTTTTCTTTAAATGGTTTTTTTTGAGGCAGGGTTTCTCTGTGAAGCTTTGCACCTTTCCTGGAACTCGCTTTGGAGACCAGGCTGGCCTCAATCTCACAGCGATTTTTTTTTTTAATATGCTTCAACACTGTATGAGTTATGGCCTGTAACAGCAGTTCTCAACCTGTGGGGTCATGATTCCTTGGGGGAAGGGTTGTTGAATGACTTTCACAGAGGTTGCATATCAGATATTTACATTATGATTCATAACAGCAAAATTACAGTTAATGAAGTAGCAACAAAAATAATTTTATGGTTGGAGTCACCACACATGAGAAACTGTATTAAAGGACTGCATCACTAGGAAGGTTGCAAACCACTGCTCTAACAGTACATAAAGAACACTCTCACCAATGCCACAACAGACACTAGGCACATCAAACAGGAAATGCTGCAGAACTGTTACAATCTATCAGAAAGCAGCACACAATAAGAGAACACCTGTCTTTTAAGTAACTCACTTGTTTTCTAATAGGGTCTATGACCCCCAAAGACTTCCTTAATTTAGTTAGGTGATCCAGGTTTAAAATCATGATCCCCTTGCCTTAGCTTCCAGAATGCTGGGATTATAGGCATGTGTTCACATACCAGATACTTATTTTAAAACAAGCAAACTTACACATATCTAAAGAGAATAGAGTATGATAATTCTCTATGTGCTGACCATGTCCAAGCTCTTCTAGTTACTCTACAAATGACTGGAGATGACAGGTTAGCTTACTGTGCCATCAAAAAAAAAAAAAAAAAAAAAGAAACACTTCAATTTGCATATCATCCCTGCACAGGGGCTGTTATCATTTTTATTTTAACAAATGCTGGTTAGTTTTGGAATGCAAGCATTTGAATCTAGATTGGAAGATAAAAACATTACAGAGTTTGCTCTACACACAGGGAATACAAGTGACAGTGTTCACCTGAGACTGATGCCATGTCACTGGTCACAGGAAATTTCTGCTTTTAAGTTCCTCTAGTTTATCATTTTAGTCTCATTTTTTTTCTGAATGTTCTGGAAAATTTGAACCAATTTCTTGATTTTCATTTTGGTGACTGATTTCTATTTTCCTAATGGTCCTTTAGAAAATACTGTGATAGGGAACCCAAAGCAAACAAGATACTAAATGTTCCATCATTTCCCTGAGTAGTTTCCAAACTTTTGGGCTCTAACAAATAGTAAGAGTCATCTCATAGCTGGGGACAGTGGTTTATACATTTAATCCCAGCACTCAAGAGACTAAGGCAGAATATCAGAAATTCAGGGTCAAGTCCATTGATACAGTTCATTTGAGGACAGTCAGCTCAGGCTGTGTATGTGAGATTCTTCTCTTTGAAACAAAACCAGAAGATAATCCCCACAGTGTAAACATGCTGACAGCACTCAGGATTGAATAAAGAGTCCTTCACGTTGTGCTACACTCCTGCCCCGGCCAACATTCAACTCACAATCTTCCTACCTCAGCCTCCTGAGTAATTATAGGTCTGTGTCACAGTGATTGATCAAAAACATAAAACCTTATTTTGGCTTCATGAAAAACTGAGATGAAACGTAATTGACAGCCAGGAAACAGAGAAAGCATAGGGCTCCTCATAACCTTGAAGTTTGTTCTGAACTTCATGTATACATTTCCTTGTTTTAAAATGTTATGGGGTTATAGCCTAGTGATATATACATGCTGATTAATAGCAGCAGGTTCTGGGTTCGATCCTTTGTACAAAACAAAATGCTAATTTTAACCAAACTACACTAACACTGGAACACTCTAGTAGATAAAACTCTGAAACTCAAAACTGAAAGCAGATATCCCAAATACCAAAAGTGAAAAACAGTACTTTTTAAAGGAAAGAAAGCGGTCACTCACCTGGCTGTATACATCTTGCAGACAAAACATTTTCTGGTCCATAGCCAGTGTTTCTTGGTAAGAAGGGGATAAAGTGTTCTATCCAGGCAGTCATCATGATGCACAAGCCTTCATGAGGAAAACAGACGAAGATATTAAAATGCAAACACTATACCTGTTCCCCAACATTAGGAACGTGGTTTGACCTTCTTCCATTTTTTGTTCACAGAAGAGTGTTAACTTACTTAAATTTAAATAGTGCACTGGTGGGAGGGAGTCAGATCCCCTGGAACTAGAGTTACAGTTGTGAGCTGCCATGTGGGTGCTGGGAATTGAACACATGTCCTCTGGAAAACAGCCAGTGCTCTTAACCCCTGAGCCATCTCTCCAGTAAACTGATTTCATGTACTTGGTTTAAGCAGGTTACACTTCACAAAATACCTAACCCCATACTGGGGATGTCACTTAGTGCTAGAGTTCTTGCCTAGCTTATTAAATAAAGCAGTCACCTGCAACTGAACACTTTCCCCAAAGAGCTTTTCAGATTGAGCAAGGACTTAATTTCTCAATTGCCTTTATGATGCTAACATGCAGTGATGGTCTAAGAGTTACTGTATGTAGTATTTTTTAAAAATATATTCCATTGGACTCCTTGCTCTGCTCAACAGAGCACTGTTATCTGTGGAATACAGTATAAGTAAGACTGTCCAGTGATACCTTACTTAGATTAACTGGCTCTTACTGCATGACTTTCTCATTATTAAAAACCAAGATTTGGATACCCAAATGACATGAATTAGATTCTAATGTTAAATGTCAGAACTATTAAGTACCACTAACCAGTTGCATGGTTTGGAGAAATCATAAACTCCCATGGAACAATTTAAATCCTAAAGATTTGAAAGTTCTAAAATTTACACACTAGATGTGGTGGCATAAACTTCTAATGTCAGCACTTGGAAGGAAGAGACAGGAAGACCGGGTCTTTTGTTTTTAACTATGTATGAGTGTTTTGCCTGATGTATGTCTGTGCACCACATGCCTGCCTTGTGCCACAGAAGCTAGAAAATGATGTTGGAGTCTTGACTTGGAGTTATAGGTGGTTGTGAGCCATCATGTGAGTGTTGGCAATCAAACCCAGGTCTGCTGGAAGAGTAGCCTGTGCTCTTAACTACTGAGCAAACCTTTCAATCACAAGGGCCAAGATTTTAAAGCTTAGCTACACAGTAAGTCTGAGGCCCACCTGGGCTATGTGAAACAAAATCTGTCTCAAAACAAAATGTGTGTGTGTATATATGCAAATAATTAACACCAGATTTTTAATTTCTTAAAGGTTAGCAAAGAGAAATAGATACTGTATATCATTTTAAAGGTCATGTAAATATAAAGTTATGAGATCTTACCCTTACATTCTTCTTCCTCAGGGAACTGCTTTCTGTCTTTTGTGGGTCTGAGGTAGGTGTACATGGTACTTGTGTGCATGGAGGTCCCTGAAGGGGACATGGGGTATCCTGCACTACCACTCTGCCTTACTGCCTTGAGACAGGGTCTCTCACTAGATCTAGAGCTAGGCTGGCAGTCAGGAGGCCCAGGACCCTCCTCTTGGCTCTCCCTCCACAGCACTAGTTACAGGTGTACAGGCCATTCCTGGCTTTTCATGTCCTCTTGCGATTGGAACTGGAGTCCTCGTACTTGCTCAGCAGGCACTCTTACCCACTAAGCCAGTTCCTCAACCCCTCAATTCTAAACTGTTTGGAATTTAGTTACTCAACTTCTCACTATAGAATTACTATGATTTCAATTAAACTGAGATACTTGTTTTGATTTATAGACAGAGTCTCTTATTAAGGAGGTCTGGCTGACCTGGAACTCACAGAAATCTACCTGCCTCTGCCTCCCAAGTGCTGGGACAGTAGGCCTGCAATAGTCTAGTTTAGATTAAAGAAAAAAATAGTAACAATACAGAGTGTGTCCACTTCCAAGTATATGGAAAGTAATGTTGCTGCTCCGAAGCCAAGCCATAGCAACAACTCTTTAATTCTCTGAATTTCTTTTTAAATTACTTATAATTTTGTACTGTTAAAGAGACAGAGCTATCTCAGTGGGTGAATGTTGCTTGATGACTTCAGTTCAATCCCCAGGACCCACGTGGTGGAAGGAGGGACTCCTGCAAGTTGTCCCCTGACTTCCACACTCCTGCTGTAGAATGTGTCCTCTCCTCCCCCCAATTAATAACGTTCTTAAGATAAAATATTCTCTGAGTGATGCTACATACCTTATGTCTGTAATAACAACAACATGTTCACAATCTCCCTGGTGACAGTATAAGTAAGGAAAGCCAAGTTTAATATTCAAGTCATTAAATGTGAAATCTTCCATTTTAGCAGTCTGAAATTTTCCATATCCTCGATCATGGGACTCTGACCACTCTATAATAGTTCTGTTTTGGGGAAAGGTAAGGATAAAACATTATTATTGAAACTTGAACAGTAAAGAAAAGTTTTATATCTACAATATTTCACATAATCTGGCCTCCTAATTAAACAGATGGTTGCCATCTCGGAGGGAAGATCATGATGGTTAATAAATTCTTGGGTTAGGAACAGTGAATTTGGACGAGTTAGGTAACAGCATTGATCACCAAACCTGATGACCCTGGGTTCAATGCCCAGGATCCACACTGGAAGAAGACTTAACTCCTACCAACCAGTTTTTCTCTGCTCACATGTGTGCCATTGCATAAACACATACATCTAAGCTCCCACAGAGTAAAAATGTTAAAGGGGGTTTGTGGGTGTCCTGGGGGATCAGACACTGAACTCTTCATCTGTCTGAGTAACAGCTCTCTTTTATTCTTAGAGTTTTATATATTTTGAGACAGGGTCTTTCTCACTGTATAGCACTGGCTATCCTAGAACTCCACTGTGTAGACCAGGATGGCCTTGAAGTAAGGAGACTCACCTCTGCCCTTGTCATCCCAGGAAGGACCAGTTTTTTTGGAGGCTGTATGATATGTACCACTTTAGCACAAACAAAAAATGTATAATAATGCTGCATTTTGTTCTCAGTTTACTTTTGGCAACAGGTTTCTTTTTTTCTTTACAAAAAATTAGCATGTACTAAGATTAGAATGTTAGTATTTTTCTCTTTTTTAAAATTTTTTTTTTCCATTTTACATACCAACAACAGTTCCCACTCCCTCCCCTCCTCCCACTCACCCCCCACCCACCCACTCCTCAGAGAGGGTAAGGCCTCCCATGGGGAGTCAACAAAGTCTCACATATCAAGTTGATATGTATCCAGGCTGAGCAAGGCATCCCTCCATAGGGAATGGGCTCTAAAAAGCCAGTTCATACAATAGAGATAAATCCTGGTCCCACTGCCAGGGGCCCCACAAACTGCCCAAGCCACACAGCTGTCACCCACATTCAGAGGGTCTAACTCAGTCCCATGCGGGTACTGAGCTCCCACTAGCTCAGGTCAGCTGTCTCTGTGGGTTTCCCCATCAAGATCTTGACCCCTCTGCTCACATAATCCCTCCTCCCTCTCTTGGACTGGACTCTGGGAGCTCCACCCAATGCTTAGCTGTGGATCTCTGCATCTGCTTCCATGAGTTACTGGATGGAGGTTCTATGATGACAATTAGGGTCACTGATCTGATTACAGGGGAAGGCCAGTTCAGGCACCCTCTCCACTATTGCTTAGAGTCTTAGCTGGGGTCATCCTTGTGGGTTCCTGGCAATTTCCCTAGCACCAGGTTTCTCCCTAAACCCACAATGGCTCCCTCTGTCAAGATATCTCTTTCATTGCTCTTCCTCTCTGTCCCTCCTCCCACCTGACCATGGCATTCCCTCATGTTCTCTTGGTACCTTCCCTTACCTCCTGATTCCCCTTCCCCCTCGTTACCTAGCTTCTCCGGGGTTGTGGACTGTAGCCTGGTTAGAGAATGGTAGTATTTCTTCGTTTCACATTCTAATTAAGGTGCTAGGTGGTGGTGGCAGTTGTCCACGAATTTAATCCTAGCACTCGGGAGGCAGCGGCAGAGGCAGGTGGAACTTAGGACAACCAGTGCTACACAGAGAAGGCCTGTCTTGAAAAACCAGAAAAAAAAATTCTGATTAAGTACTTATAGCTATGACCCACAGAAGCTACAGCTCTTTGGGACACTCAGTTATTTTTATTATTAAGAACTGAGAACAAGTGTTGAAAACTACATTAAAAAAAAGGATGAAAAATGGCTATAACCAGTACATCGGAGGCTGTGGCCACCGATAATGAAATGTGTTAATAAAATGCTATTAGAAATGAAATTCCATATACTTCTACCTGAGCAACATCATACACATGTGTCCACCTACTTCCCCACACAGGGCAAATAATTTATATGAGACATGCAGAAAAAAGAGGGAAGAAAAATGGCTAGTGGGTAAGAGTGTGCTGCTCTTCCACAGACCCTGAGATACTCTCTACCTCCAAGGATCCACATTCCTTTTCTGGCTCTGCCATACCTGCACTCACAAATACATAGCGTTCCTTCCCCCCTTATACACACAATTAAAAATAAGCCCTTAAAACAAGATAAAAGTAATGAAAGATTAACATTATCACCTGAGATTAATAACCAAGTACCTTTAGAGGTACGTGCCATTCAATACAAATTTTATAAATTCCTTGGGGGGCAGAGAGAAATCCTTAAAAATACAGTAGTAAGATTTGTGTATCTGTCACTAATTTAAGAGCTAGAAATAAACTGGGCATGGTGGTGCATTCCTTTAATCACAGCACACAAGAGGCAGAGGCAGGTGGATCTCTGTGAGTATGGGGCTAGCCTGTCTACAGAGCAAGTTCCAGGACAGCCAGGATTACATACAGAAACCTGTCTTGGAAAAATAAACAACTAGAAACAAACATTTGTATAGTTAGGTGTGGTGGTACATGTTTTTAATTTCAGCACTTGGGAGGGGGGCAGAGGCAGGAGAATCACTAAGGTCCAGACCATCCAGGGCTATATAGTAAGGCCCTTCTCAAAAAAACAAAAACCAACAGGAAAAAACACAAGACTTTGGGAAGATTTTTTGGGACTAGTACCTGCTTAAGTCTCTGCATTCTGGGTATCTTTTGTCATTGTAAAAGGTTCCTTCAAAATAAAAAAAAGCTGATTTGTATAGGTCCTACAAGAAAACACATGGTATTTAATGAAAGCCCATTTGTAACAATTCAAGTATTTAAAATTTATACACCATAAAAATCACAAGAATACCCAGCAACTCATGTTTGGGGCCCCTCTCTGCTGTCATAAGCTGTCACTCAATAAAACCTTGCTTACTTGTGAGCGCAAACGTGTACACACACACACACACACACACACACACACGGGGGGGGGGGGGGGGGGGGGGGGGGGGGGGAGCGCCTAGGTTACACAGTGAGACCCTGTCTTCAAACAAGTAAATAAATGTCCTAAAAGAATAACTATTGCCTTATTTTGGAAACAGTTTGGTATATATACAATTTTGTTCATCATATAACACTTCTATAAAACTCCATCAAAAGTAACTTGAGCAACTTAGTGCCTCCTCACATTATTGCTTATTAGCAAAGAAAGCTCTAAAAGAACAAAAATGGTTCCTACCAAATATTACCTGTTAATAACCTCTCCTCGCTGTACAAACAGGTAGCATATGGGCAAGTTTAATAGTGCCCACATGCAATCCCAGTACTTGTGAAATTGAGGCAGAAGATTCACAAGTTCCACGCCAGTCAGGATACTAGACAATGTATTTGATACTTGATCAGAAAATACTAGCACTGTTTACGTGCTTTTTAAAAAAAATACAGTTCTATTCTAAAAACAATAACCGTCCCCTCAAACATTAGCAAATCCTTTTTTACTTTAAAGCTATAGGGACTTAAATACGCTGGAGTTTCCCAAGTTCTGGCACATTGGCAATGACTAACAGTCCAGCTCACTGTAAAAGCTGCAGCCCCCTGTAAAACCCGTTCACAACTGTCAATGGGACACATGCCAGGGAAACAACAAAACCATCAACTCAAGGACTTATTTTCACTGTTCTTTGGTGTACAATGGTATTAACAAAAAATAATTTTGGGAAAAAGCTAAAAGCTACTGAACATAATAATGAACACATGAGGTTCATTATATCATTCTCTATATTGATTTTATGTTTTGAAACTTTTTCAACAGAAACAAATGAAGAAAAAAAAACACTGTAAAATACAAATGTCAATATAACAGTCTTTTTAAGGCTCTAAGTTGTTAGGTTCAAGCCCGGCCATGTAGCATATGCCTTTAATCCCAGCACTTGGGACGCAGAGGCAGGTGGATCTTTGTGAATTCAAGGCCAGTCTGGTCTACATAATGAGTTCCTGGACAGCCAGGGCTATGTAGAGAGATGCTGTGTCAAAGAACAAAACAAAATAAAAAACCAGGAACAACAACAACAACAAGATGTTAGGTTCAGTCAATACCTCATGTATAGGTATCTGCCCTTCTAAATGCTTTTAAACTTCGTAAATATAATTTCTCAAACATCGCTGAAGGAGAAACAAAGCAGATTTCTGAACAGATAGACGCCCCACAAAGCCCTGTGCAGAAGCCTGTGGGTGAAGTGTAATCACTGTTTTTCAGCGCCTGCTCACGAGATAAAGTCATCCACAACCAGCACCCTGCCAGCACCAGGGCTGTGAAGGGGAAACATGGACCTGACTCCAGCCTCTCCCACTGCGTGGTGAACTCATGACTGCTCTTTTTCTTGTGAAAAGGTGACAGTTCTTTCCAAGGCCAACATATACTCGGCACATGGTGTGTGCTCAATGATCAGGCTATTATTTAGTAGACAAAGCAGAAAGAATGTAGCAGCATATCTGTAAATATCATTCAGTAAGACAACAGGGAGCTAGAGAGATGGCTTAGTGGTTATGAGCACTTGCTGCTGTTCCTCAGAACCTGGGTTTCATCCCCAGCACCCACATGGCAGCTCACAACCCACATGGAAGCACACAGGCATCTGTAACTCCAGTTCCAGGATCCCAATGCCCTCTTCTGGCTTCCTCAGGCACTGCAGACATGTGGTACACATACAAATACATTTTAAAAAATGTAAATAGGACAGTAAACTATGTAGTCCCGGCTTAGAAAACTGAAGGGGTTAGCACAAAGTACAAATTCTCTAAACTGACCAGTCCCGTTGTCTAGGAATGCCGGCACATCTGACTCAAACTGCTCTTTGCTAATGCGGACAGGTTGCTACAGAGGGGGAAGTGTCAGATATTTCACATTAAATTAATCCTTTTTTAAAAAATAGTTTATTTTTATTTTATGTGCATTGGTATTTTGCCTGCATGTACGTCTGTTTGAGGATGTCAGATCCCCTAGAACTGGAGTTACAGTTGTGAGCTACCATGTGGGCGTTGGGAATTGAACCCAGGTCGTCTGGAAGAACAGCCGGTGTTCTTAACCACTGAGCCATCTCTCCAACCCCTCCTTTTGGTTTTTAAAGAAAAAAATCTATGTAGCCCCAGCTGTCCTGGAATTTGCTATGTAGACTAGGCTGTCCTTGAACTCACAGAGATCTGCCTGCCTTTGCCTCCTGAGTGTACCACCATGCCCAGCCCATGTTAAAGTAATTTATTTATAGCTATACCTTCTTTTTCTGGTAGGTTTAAGAAGCTTGCAAAAGACCAGTGCTTTCTTCTTGAAAAACAAGATAAACCTATTTCCTTAAGATTCTATTTGTTTCTCCTTATCACTGCAGTTATCTCCCAAGCACTGATATGGCAATTTGGAAGAGTTTAAGTTTCTTAAAACCATTTTCAACATAATCACAACCATTTGGTGCAACCCCTGCCTGAGCTATGACGTCATCATATGACGCTCATATATATCACAGAACATAGTGGGTTTATAGGGCAAGTGGACACAGCACCAGGGTATGATATGCACTGTAATGGTCATGGAAAGCCTGGAACCCAGTTTGGAAATGTGACTATGAAACCCCCCTAGATGCATGGTAAGATGCCTTTTGCCACACCATAATATTCAAAACAGGAACATGGAACACATGGAGAAGACAGATACACAAATTCACTGTGTGAAGCCCCATGGGATGTTAACATGGGACTCAAAACTCAAAGAAATAAAAATGTACATGGCTAGTGGAAAAAAGGAGATTGCCTTTTGATTCTTCTCCAAGTTCTAACTTCATCCTACTTATTTCAGATTTCATTTTATGTGCCTGCAGAGAGATGCCCTCTCCTTAGTGGGCAAGTAAATCCAGGGTCCTCTGCCAAGGTCGTACCATGTAACAGAACCAGAGCAGTCTTTCTGTCTTGAGATTCAGCAAGATTGGGTCATTCTGTTTGCTTAGGTAAGCCCTCCCTCCCTTCTGAAAATGTTTTGGCAGTCCACCGATACATGGCTCTCTCCAAGAGGTACTGGGGCCTTTCTGTCTCACGAAGAGAAAACCACAGTGAAGATCAACTGTCCACCATCTCCCGTCTGATACTGGTCCATGGACTCCTTGATCCTACAGCAGTGAAGAAGGGGTCAGATGACGGTGGCTCGTGGGAATTCCGAACTTTGCCTCGAGGTAGTTAAGGTGGACTGAAATCTCACAGCACTTTAAACAGAGGATGGAGACTAAAATGGAAGCCACAGTGCGGCTGGGGCTGTCGCTCAGTGGAGAGTGCTGACTTAGCTCAGGCCTAGAACTGAAGACAAATGAACAAGGAAGCTCGGTCAAGTCCGACTGTAAGGGAAAGGAAAGAGAACTGGCCGGCCAGCTGGACAGGCAGGAAAGCTCAGGAAGGGGCGTCAGACAGCTGTAAATGTGAGCCGAGACAGTGGACAACGACTACTGCCTCTGAAAGACTCCAGGGACGGCAGGAGAGACGACAGCTCCCAGTCAGTCCCATGAACCATGAGAACACTCAAGCCACACTCAGGACCCTGCTGCAGCAATCACTCTTTCCTTCGCTTACTGTTTTCCTCATCTTTTAAGGGGAAGGGAAAGGTCACCTTACTTTGCTGATGTGCTCAGGGGCCTGGTCTGGAGTACTACTGAATTCTCCACCAATCTGGAGGTCACTGACACAGCGAATTGAATCCCTCAGTTCGGTGAGCTTCTGACTGCCCAATACCAACATTGTCTGGTACGGTTTGTGTTCTCTGTGCTGAAGTCAAACAGTAAGTAAGTGTCCATTTTAAAGACCAGTTAACCACAAATCCCACCAAGACCTGATCTAAATGAAGTTCCTACTTTTTTTCCCCTTGAGACAGGGTTTCTCTGCATAGCCCTGGATGTCCTCAAACCAAGACCAACCTGCCTCTGACTCCCGAGTGCTGGATTAAAGGTATGTGCTACCATGCCAGTCATAATTTTCTTTATTTAACCTATCCCCTTGGGCTGGAATCAGGGTTCGGTAGTACAGCACTTGTCTGTATGCACAAGGTTCTGAGTTTGATCTATAGTACTGAAAACAAATAAATCCCAGAAGTTGGCATTCTGTATTTTCTTAGTTGCTGTATTTTTCGATCTCATATCCATAATCAGAAGACCAATCTAGAAAAGTTAGCTTGGTGGTAGAGTGCATGTCTACCATGCACAAGGTGCTGGGTATAATTCAGCCGAGGGGTAGGAGTCCGAGAGCTGATGCCAACCAACCCTAAACTGGTTATACCTCCATAGACAGTTGCATATGCATTCCTTATTCCAGCCTTCTGTGGGGTGCTCGTTCTTCTTAGGTGGTATGAATTTATTCTGATGGAACTAACCTCTCCCATCATCACCCAATCACCTCCCCAAATTCAAAACCCACTGGGTACAACAGAGACACCTGATAACAGAATTTTTTCCTTTAAAGTTTATAATCAAGGTGATACTAAATTGACATCAGGACTAGGAGCCTTTAGAATACAACTTCATCTAGCAGTAATGTCTTGAATTTTCCTGGAAGTTGCATCACTGAAGTTAGCAATCTATATCCTGCCCTCAAGTTATAAACCCAAAAAATTCATTTTTAAAAACTGGCAAGTAGCCAGCCTGGTCTCCAAATTCAGTTCCAGGATAGCCATAGCTGTTCTACAGAGAAACACTGTCTCAGAAAAAACAAAACTCCAAAAATAAACTAGCAATTTGAGATCTCAAGCAATGCAGTTAGTAAGTACAACTATTTGCTTCATAAAAGCCTACTTAAGTGCAAATTATGTATAGCAATATACACAAACCACAGAATTTAGGACCTATCTCTAAAAAAGCAAAAATAGATACAAAATCTGCTGCCTGCTTAACATGTGCAAACCTGGCCTTTAGTTCTTGACACTATAAAAGAAGGGGAGGGCCAGGACATGTCCATGTCACGTTAGAACACAGTTCTTTTAGTAGACTTCTAAGAAATTACTGGGTGTGGCGGTGTGAATGAGAAATATCCCCCATAGTCTCTGACATTTGAAAGAGTGCTCCCAGTTGCTGGTCCTGTTAAGGGAGCCTTAGGAAGTGTGGCTTTGTTGGAGGAAGTGTGTCACTGAGGATGTATTTTTTAGATTCATTTTTACTTTTTTTTTTTTTTTTTTTTTTTGGTTTTTTCGAGACAGGGTTTCTCTGTGTAGCTTTGTGCCTTTCCTGGAACTCACGCTGTAGCCCAGGCTAGCCTCGAACTCACAAAGATCCATCTGCCTGCCTCTGCCTCCCGAGTGCTGGGATTAAAGATGTGTGCCACCACTGCCCGGCTCATTTTTACTTTTAATTCTGTGTATTCTTGTGTTTCCATGTGTGAGTATGTGCATAGAGTGCAGTTGTCTGAGGAGGCTAAAAGAGTGTTGGGTTCTTTAGTACTGGAGTGACAGGTGGTTGTGAGCCACCTGATGTGTGTGCTGGGAACAGAACTCTGGTCCTCTGCAAGAGTGGTAGCTGCTGAGCCTCACTCTAGCCCCTGAGCCTGGGTTTTGAAAGCTTAAAGATTTGCACCATTGTAAGTCTGCTCTCTCTGCTTCCGTCTGTGGTTTGAGATGTGAGCTCTCTCAGCTTCCAGCTCCAGGGGCCATGTCTGCTACCTGTTACCTCTGCTTCACCGTTTAGACTCTAACCCTGGAACCCTAAGCTCCAACTAAGCCCTTCCTTCCGTAAACTGCACTGGTGGTTGTGTCTTCTCACAGCAGCAGAAAAGAAACTACAGTACACTGGGTATCCCTAACTTGTTCATTTTATGCATTTTCATCAGTGAGGAACTTCCCAAGGATTCTGAACAAAGTCCGTTCTGTTCCTCTATCAGCAAATTAGAATCACTATGGAGGTATATACATACTTTCAGTTGCATCTACTGCAAAATCAGCTACACATTTCAGTGTTATAAGTGTAATCATTGGTTAAAAGATGTAAATTGCCAGGCGGCGATGGCGCACGCCTTTAATCCCAGCACTCAGGAGGCAGAGCCAGGCGGATCTCTGTGAGTTTGAGGCCAGCCTGGTCTATAGAGTGAGCTCCAGGACAGGCACCAAAAACTACACAGAGAAACCCTGTCTTGAAAAACCAAAACAAAAAAAAAAAAAAAGAAAAGAAAGAAAAAAAGAAAAAAGATGTAAATTTAAGTTTTGAAATTTGTTGGAACATTTCTAATTAAAACAAAGAGCTCACAAATACATCCTGTGAGTCCTAAAATTAAGATGTCAGACTGTATATGCTAACATTTATTTTGAAACCTGAGGTAGGACTCAAATAATGAAATACTTAGTTCAAGGTTACTTTTAGGGACTGGTGGTGTCCTTGAGATAAAGTGCTTGCCTAATATGCTTGAGGTCCTAGTTTCTACCCCTACTACTCAAAGTTACTTAGCCCATGAAAACCAGGTTTCACTACTGACCTTGTTAAATATAACAGGGTACAAGATGTTCACAGATAGGATAAGCTCCCCTTCTTCAATCATGTCTTCTGGATTCTCAGGTTTTTTCCCAAGTGCATGAGATTCCTGAAGAAAGAAAACAAGACCTTGAAATCAGCCACTGTAACTCAGCTAAGAGACAATGGCAGCACAGAGCCCCCAGGGAGGGTTCTGGTCAACCTTGGGTTTGATGTCCAATTCTAAGAGAGGAATGGTTAGTCTCCTTATGCTCAGCTTTACCTATTGTAATAACAGAAAATACTTTTTACAGACTTGTTTTGGGGAATGTGTACATAAAACATGTAATAAGACATCTGGTGTTATATGCTTAGCAACCAATGATAAAAAGAAATATTAGCTAATATTGTTCCGAATGGCATTTCTCATCACTATTCCTTGTTTATAGCCTTTAATATGTTTATAACATTCTCTTCTATGTGCTTAATAGTTACAAGGGCCACTAAAATGAAAGAGTTAAATGAAAATGCACGATATTTTAAAAATTAGTGGGAGTCAGGGCTGGAGGAGAGCTTGATGACTAAGAGCACTTAGTGCTCTTGCCGAGGTCCCAGGTTCAGGTCCCAGCATGCACATGGTGGCAGACAACCACCTATAACTCCAGTTCCAGGGGATCTGATGCCCTCTTCTGCCCTCTGCATGTGGTGTACATTCATACATTAGGTATAGACACATACACATAAACTAATAAATATTTGCTTTTTAAAACATGGAGTGACATCATGCAGAATAGCTAGTTTTTTCTACTGAAGCAGCCACCAGGCTGAGAAGATAAAATGAAATAAATTTCTTTGGAAGTCTGGAAACTGACTGGATATTTCCACAGGCAGGAGAGTGTTTGGAGAAGGGAGAAGCTGATTATATTCTGCAAATAAGCAGTATGTGCACACCAATACTTCTCCCCATTCCCTCCATCCCACTGCAGATGTGAGATAGCAGCTGAGTTTCCAAAACAGCAGGCTGGTGCCAGGGCAGCCAAGCAGAGACCCTGTCATTAAAATGTGGGGTTGTGTTTTGATTGATCTGGTGGTGCTTTCCTTGACTGGCCCTGTAGGCAATACCTGATAGACCCACCTACTGGAATATTTACATAACTTTTCTTAACAGGTTTTTAAAAACTTTAATTTTTGAAGCCAGACATTTAGGTCACTGGCTGAACACAGGTAATAGACTAGAACTATCAACGGCCATATGCAATTAATATGCACATAGCAAAACAGCCTGGCAGAGTAAAAAGCATAACAACCCATGTCCAGTTTTCAACAAAAACTTACACATGGAACAGGAAAATATGGCTCATTTACAGGAAAGTAAGAATTTTATATGAATTGACCTCAAGGAAACTCGATCATTGAAATTACTAAAGTTAATTAGGAAGCCAGGTATAGTGGTACATGCCTTTAAACCCAGCACTCAGGAGGCAGAGGCAGACAGATATCTCTCTGGCTAGCCTGATCTACAAAGTGACTTCCAGGACAGCCAGAGCTAGTGTCTTGAAGAAAAATGAAAGTTAATTAATGAGGACTGGCAGATGACTTGGCAGGTAAAGAGCTTGCTGCCAAGCCTGTATGGAACCCATACAGGGGAGAGAACTGAGTCCTGTAAGTTGTCCTCTGACCACATACATACTGTGGCAGGTGTATGTACATGTACAGATTGCCCAACAGTCTCACGTACTCTCTCTGAACAAATGTAAAAAAAGTTTTAATATGCTAATTAATTATTCCTTAAAGCAAAGTCTAGACTCACATATAAATAAAAGCCTATTGAATAAAAGCAAATAAAATAAGATGCTAAGTCAGCTGTCATAAATATGGTCAATGAACTAATAGAAACCAATTACTTTAACTACAGGAAATCAGGTTCCTCAACTGATTTAACAGATTTCTCAACAGAAAACAAGACAAGAAACAAGTCAGATGACACACTTCAAACCACGAAAGAAGACAGTTCCCAGAATTCTCTATCTAGCAAAACTATTCATTAAGAATGAAGGAAAGGGGGCTGGAGAGATGGCTCAGAGGTTAAGAGCACTGACTGCTCTTCCAGAGGTCCTGAGTTCAATTCCCAGCAACCACATGGTGGCTCACAACAATCTGTAATGAGATCTGGCACCCTCTTCTGTATACATAATAAATAAATCAAAAAAAAAAAAAAAGAATGAAGGAAAGACGAAACACTCTGGGACACAGAGCAGCGGAGGAAGCACTAGGAACAGCAGCAGCAGCAGCAGCAGCAACAGCAGCCCCTCTTCAGACTGAAGCCACACACAACATAACCACTAGGAAGACACTCTCGGTACATGCGGAACAGGAAGGAGGTGGGAACTAAACTGATGCACAACAAAAACCAGTATCTAGAGTAAGGAAGTCATGGAAGACCAGAGGGACAGAAGACACCCCAAGAGCTCAATGATAGAAGCTCTTTCTTCCCAGGAACTAGTATAGCTGTAAATAGATGACATTCTCCATTCTCCAGCCTGAAAGGGCAGGCTGACAGACTGAATTACAAAAACTTTATTTAGCTGGATGTTGTCTACAGGAGGCTCATTTTAGATACTAAGACAGAAACATGTTGAAAGTAAACGGGTAAAGGATATTCCATACAAATCATAACAAAAGAAAACTGTTGGAGGCTGTTTTACTGTCAGACAAAACAGGGTTTAAGAAAGATTATGAGACAAGGTACCATACAGCAGTGAGACACACAATTACAAATACACAGAGAGCAAAGGGATCCTAAAATACATACAAAACACTCAAGAGTTTAAAAAACACAATTCTGGATTTCGATATTTTTCTTACAATAATGAACTCAATAGGCAGTGGAAGAACTGAACACTAAAAACAAAGACTAACATAAAAAAGCAGACCCCTCCAGCCAACAGTAGCCTTCTCAAGTGCACATGAACCACTCTGTAGGACAGCCCACCAACTAGACCTAAAGGAACTAAAATCATACAAAGTAGTTCTGATCACAATTCACTAACACTAGAAACCAGTAACAAGGAAAACTGAAAATTCCCAATGCTTGAGAATCTTAGAAACACAACAGTACAGCCATGCACAGTGCTGTATGCCTGTTACCCCATCAATGCGGGGACAGGAAGGACTGGGGCAGGAAGATTTTAAACTCTGAAGTCAGCCTGGGCTATACAGGAAGACCCTTCTCAAAAACAAACCAATGGGCCGAAGAGGTGGCTCAGAAGTCAGAGTATGTACTGCTCTTGCAGAGGACCTAAGTAAGTGTGGGTTGCAGCACCCACCGAGGACAGCTCACAATTGCAGTGGGGGGCTGCTTGAGCCTCCTGTGAGTCTAGCTTCAGGAGATCCAACGCCCTCTTCTGGCCTCCATGGGCACTGCACTCATGTTTATAAATCCACACTTAAAATCAAAATTAACACGACACAAAACAAAACAAAAACCCCATTTGTCAAACAAGCACAGGGAAAAGCATACAGGGGGAGTTCGAAAGCACTGTGAGACAGCGCAAGCAGCACTTCAGAGAAACAGCTAACGGAAAGCCACCTTACACAGTGAACTGTGGTAAGGAACTGAAAAGAGACAACAAACCAATTCCAAAATTAGGGGAACTAATATAAGGTGGAGAAAACAAACCAGAAAACAGAAAACTAACCAAAGCAATACTTCTGAGTGTAAGTGTGTCTGTGGAGGTGCCAGTCCCTGGAAGGTTGTGATCCTCCAACATGGGTGCTGGGAACCAAACTCAGAGCCTCAGAAGAGTCAAGACGGGCTTTCAACCGTCAACCACCACTCCCGCCCAGGTCAGTTTTTTAAAAGACTGAATTACTAAAGTCAGACTAGAAACAGAGGGCTGTCGAGAGGGCTCAGAGGATGCAGACACTGTCTGCCAAGGCTGACGAGCTTGGCTGCATACAAACACTAGCTAAGCAGAAATCGGGACCTTCAAAGTACAAAAAGAAAGCCCATTCTGTGTTAAAGGGTCTGGCTTTAGGTATCTTTGGGCAACTTTATTTTTTATTTTTTTCATCATATGTGACCAAATCAATATGGTATTCTAGTGAGATACCCCATTCCTTAGCACTGGGGATGTGGGCCATGGTCTTGTGCACTGCGGGCTAGCTCTCGTCCTAGACCAGATCTATCTATCTCTATTCACTTCCTCACTGCTCACAAAAGGGACCATGTGGCCCTTCGTGCTGAGAGACCACTTAGTGTTTCCTGCTTCCTAGAAAGAAATTAGGAAAGGAGAGGGAGGGAGGGAGGGGGCGAAGGGAGGAAGGGAAGGAGGTGGGAAGGGAGGGACTTATCCCACTGAATCAGCCACATCAAACTCCTCTTGCTACCCTTTTCTGAAGTTGCTGTTTCTAAAGTGTCTTCTCATCTGCATCAGTCAGTGCTAGAGAAACCTTGGATAGCTTCTGTGTAGCACTTACAATATTATATTATTTTGGGGTGGCACACACTTTTGATCCCAGTACCAAAGAGGCAGAGGTGGGCAGATCTCTCAATTCAAGGCCAGCCTGCTCTACATAGCAAGTTCCAGGCTAGCCACTACACAGTGAGACCCTGAGGTCTCAATAAAACAAAACAAAACCACACATGTATATATATACACGTGTATATATAATTTCAAAACTATGCTTTTGGGGGGCAGGGGGCCTTGTACCCCACCTGGCTGCAGTCTGTGGGCTGGTGGGGTGCTGCTATGTACAGAAGAATGAAGGTAATCCTCATTTACATCACATATTAAAATTAACTCAAAATAGGGCTGGAAAGATGGTATTTACTTTTTAAAGAGGACTTGGGTTTGGTTCCCAATATCCACATAGGATTCACAACCATCTTTAACTCCAGTTCCCAGGGATCTAGCACCCTCTCTGGCCTTCATGGGCACCAGGCACACAGGTGCTGTACAAACCTACATGCAGGCAAGAAACTCAAAACGTACAAAATAAAACATTTTTTAATTAAAAAACAAACAAACAAACAAAAAACCATCAAAATGAATCAAAGACCTAGCCTACAAGCTAAAACTCTAACACTTTACAGAGAAAACAAAGAGGACAATCTTCATGGTACTGAGTTAGGTAATATTTCTTAAATATGCCAAAGTCAGAGAACAAAACAAAAGAAAAATGGATATTCTTGATCTCATCAAATCTTAAAACCTGACATCAAAAGAATGAAAAAGACAATCCACAGAATGAGAGAAAATATTCTCAAATCATAAATATGGTAAAGCTCTAGCATTCTGAACACCCAGTAACAAGACAATAGTACTTTTTTTTTTTCAAGACAGGGTTTCTCTGTGTAGCTTTGCGCCTTTCCTGGAACTCACTTGGTAGTCCAGGCTGGCCTCGAACTCACAGAGATCCACCTGCCTCTGCCTCCCGAGTGCTGAGTACTTTAATTAGTAAAGAATAAGAACAGATGTTTCTCAAAATATACAAACGACCAATAATTTAAAAAATGCAGCCGGGTGGTGGTGGCGCATGCCTTTAATCCCAGCACTCGGGAGGCAGAGGCAGGTGCATCTCTGTGAGTTCGAGGCCAGCCTGGTCTACAGAGCGAGTTCCAGGAAAGGCGCAAAGCTACACAGAGAAACCATGTCTCGAAAAACCAAAAAAACACAAACAAACATGCTTAGCATCATTAACTATTAGGAAAGAATAAATCAAAATTATAAAATAACATAAATATCTATACTGGGGTGGTTATTCTAAACAAACAGAATATATGAATTAAAAAGGATCTGAAGAAGAAACTGAAACTTCAGGAAATACTAGTGGGAATACACAATGCAGCTTTTTATGGAAGATAACAGAATTAATACAGAATCATCACATGCCCATAAAATTTTAAGCAGTCATCACAGTGCCAAGCAATTCCACCCCAGGTGTATCACAAAAAGAACTGAAAATAGAACCCAAACACTTATTTATATGCCAGTATTCACAGTAACAAGAATTCACAAGAGCCAAAAAGTGGGAACAACTTAAAAGCTAACAGCTATCAACAAATAAACTGTGGCATGTCCATGTAACAAAAGGTTTCATTTGGCCACAGGAAGGAGTGAAGTTCTAACATATGCTACAACATGGATGAACCTTTAAACTTTATGCTAAACGAACCATACAAAAAGGAAAAAAAAAAAAGGGTGGTGGTGGTGGTGCATGCCTTTAATGCCAGCACTCAGGAGGCAGAGCCAGGTGGATCTCTATGAGTTCGAGGCCAGCCTGGTCTACAGAGCGAGATTCAGGACAGGCTCCAAAACTATATGGAGAAATCCTGTCTCAGAAAAAGAAAGAGAAAAAAATTGTGTAATTCCACTTACGTGCATAAGGTTCATAGAATAGCAATTTCATATAGACCAGGGTTACCAATGAAAGGAGACTAAGTCATTTCTTTTCTTTTTAAAAAGATTTATTTATTTTATGTATGAGTGTTTTATCTGCATGCACACCTTTATGCCAGAAGAGGGCAACAGACCCTACTAGAGATGGCTGTGAGCCACTATGTGGTGCTGGGAATTGAACTCAAGACCTCTGAAGAGCAGCCAGTGCTCTTAACCTCTGAGCCATCTCTCCAGCACCTCTAAGTTATTTCTTACTTCTGGAAATGATGATTAATAAACATCATTGTGAATGTAACTCCCTGCCCCCCACTTTTGGCTTTTTGAGACAGGGTTTATCTGTGTAACAGTTCTGGCTGTCCTGGAACTCGCTCTGTAGACACAGCTGGCCTTGAACTCACAAAGAAAGATCCACCTGCCTCTGCCTCCCGAGTGCTGGGATTAAAGTTATAAGTCACCACATCTAGCCAGTCTTTTTTTTTTTTTTTTTTTGAGACAGGGTCTCACTGTGTGGTTCTGGTTAGCCTAGAACTCGCTACAGAGATGAGGCTTGGCCTCAAACTCATCTTTGCCTTTTTGTTTGTTTGTTTTGTTTATTTGAGACAGGGCTTTTCTGTCTAATTTTCCTGGCTGTCCTGAAACTCGCTTTGTAGACCAGGCTGGCCTTGAACTCAGAGATCTGCCTGTCTCTGCCTCCTGAGTGCTTGGACTAAAGGCGTGTGCCACCACGGCCTGGCTCCATCTTTGCCTCTTGAATGCTGGAATTTAAAGGTGTATATTACCATGCTTAGCTTTAAAGTCACTCTTTAAAAAAAATTTTTTTTATTACATTAAATTTCTTTTATTTTTCTGTGTGGATGTTTTGTCTGTATGTATGTCTTTGTACCATGTACATGTAGTGCCTACAGAGGCCACTGAAGGGAGCATCTGTCCCCCTGGAACTGGAGTTATAAACCACTGTTAGCCTCCATGTAGGCGCTGGGAATCAAACCTGGTCTTTTAGAAGATCAGTCAGTGCTTTTAACTGCTGAGCCATCTCTCTAACCCAAAATTTTTATTACAAGAACATGCCACCATGGGAGAATGGATCAGTCAGAGGGCAACTTTTGCAAGTCAGCTCTTTTTCTCTATCAAGTGGGTTCTGGGGATCAAATAAATTGTTAGGCTTGGAGGCAGGCACAACAGTGCATCTTGTCAGGGCCAATGTCACTTTACTGAACCCTTGAAATAGACAAAAATGGTTTCATTTTATTCATTTCTAACATTTTTAATTTTCATTTGTGTATATTTACTGTATATGATCCTGGGTATTTTCTTTTTTCTTTTTTAAAGATTTATTTATTATGTATGCCTTCAGGCCAGAAGAGGGCACCAGATCTCATTATAGATGGCTGTGAGCCGCCATGTTGTTGCTGGAAATTGAACTCAGGACCTCTGGAAGAGCAGACAGGGCTCTTAATTGTTGAGCCATCTCTCCAGCCCTGTTAGGGTATTTTCAACCAAGTTATTAATGTATAATCTATTTTGAGTGTATCCACCCCCATGTCCTACCCTCCCAAGGCCTTGCTATGGAAACAGTGCTGGAGTGGAACTTGCAGGGACCCTTCCTGTCTGTCTTCGGAGTGCTGAGATTATAGGCAAGCACAACCATGCCCAGCCCAAACGGTGTTTTGTTATGTAATTCTACCACAGCTGGAAAAGGTGGAAGACACATGCTGTCCCTATGCACTCAAGTCCCCAGCAGTGGCGTATGTCTACCAGCTCCTGTTCTTCAACACCTTATCTTAGTTAGGGTTTCTACTGCTGTGAAGAGACACATGATCACGGCAACTCTTATAAAGAAAACACTTAACTGAGGTGGCTTGCTTACGGGTCAGAGGTTCAGTCCATTATCATCATGGTGGGACATGACGATGTGCAGGCAGACATGGTGCTGCATAAGTAGATGAGAGTCCTACATCTCGTAGACAGCAGGAAGTGCTCTGTCTCACTGGGTGTGCCTTGAGCATATATGAGACCTCAAAGCCCACCTCTGAATATGATAAGATAAAAAGGTCAATTTTTTTTTTAAGATTTATTTATTTATTATGTATACAGCATGTATGACTGCAGGCCAGAAGAGGGCACCAGATCTCATTATGGATGGTTGTGAGCCACCATGTGGTTGCTGGGAATTGAACTCAGGACCTCTGGAAGAGCAGTCAGTGCTCTAAACCTCTGAGCCATCTCTCCAGCCCCAAAAAAAGGTCAATTTTTGAATCTACTTTTAAAAAGGAACTACTTGTTTTAAATAGGGTAAGTAATGAAACTTTTTGTCTGAGATTATCAAATGTTACTGGACTGGACATTGTTATATATTAATGGAGTTTTTGCCTGAATCTGTGAAATGTTAATGGACTAGACATTGTTAATATAATTTTTGACTGTATATATTATATATACTTATTGGATAGTTTTTCTTGTATTAGTTGTAAGTTTTTTTTAATTTTAGACAAAATAAGGGGAAATGTGGTATTGTGTTCCCCAAAATATTGTGCACTCTAATAAACTTATCTGGGGTCAAAGACAAAGCAGCCTCTAGATACAAAGGCTAGAAAATGGTGGCACTCACACCTTTAATCCTAGCACTCCAGAGGTAGAAATCCCTCAGGATCTCTGAGTTCAAGGCCACACTGGAAACAGCCAGACATGGTGACACTCGCCTTTAATCTAAGAAGTGAGCCTTTAATCCCAGGGAGTGATGGCAGAAAGCAGAAAGATATATAAGGAGTGAAGACCAGAAACTAGAAGCATTTGGTTGGTTAAGCATTTGGCTGGTTAAGCTTTCAGGCCTCTAGCAGCAGTTCAGCTGAGAGCCATTCGGATATGAGGACACAGAGGCTTCCAGTCTGAGGAAACAGGATCAGCAAAGGAACTGGCGAGGTAAGGAAGCTGTAGCTTGTTCTGATTCTCTGATCCAGCATTCACCCCAGGAACTGGCCTCAGGTTTGATTTTATTAATAAGACTCTCTAAGATTCCTGCTACACACCTCCACAGTGGCACACTTCCTCCAACAAGGCCACACCTAATAGTGCCACTCCCTTTGTTTTAGAGTTTCATGCATGAAGCAATGGATTAAAAATATGGTTTTAAAAGCTGGTGGTACACGCCTTTAATCCTGGCACTCAGAAGACAGAGGCAGGTGAATCCCTCAGAGTTCAAAGTTAGCCTCATCTACATAGCAAGTTCTAAAATCTGCTCCCTTCCCACAAGAATATGGTAAACTCAGGAACAGAACAAAACTGTCCCAGGAACAGAGTGGTAAACAGGCACGAATTTGGTCGGATACCGACATAAGGACAAACTAAAAGCAGAAATCAGCCAGAGAGCTGGAGTCAAAGTGTGGCCCTTTCAGGGCCATGGGTGACGCTCTCCAACTAGCTCTCATCAGGCACTTAACAGTCAGTGACACGCTCAGCTTACTGTTTCTAGCAGAGGGCTGGAAAGGTGAGACTTACCATTTCATAAGCAAATGTTTCTTGTCTACAGGCGCGGTCTATCGTGATGTTTTCTTCCCGATAGTCCAAGAGCCCCTTCCGAACACTGACATGGACACATGAAAATAAAACAGTCAGCATGCTTTCCTGAATATTTAAAATATGCTTTAAAAAGGTCTATTTTTATTTTATTTGTGTGTTTGCCTGCATGTGTACCTGGCACCCACAGAAGGCAGAGGACGACATTAGATCCTTCCAAACTGGAATTTTTGAGCTCCTATGTAGGTACCAGGAACTGAACCCAGGTCCTCTGGAAGAGCAGCAAGTGTTTCTTACCACTTAGGCCTTAACATATCCTTAATCTTCAACATTTTTTGTTGTTGTCTTAGCAGAGATAAGAGTCAAACCCAAAATTTCACTTATGCTAGGCAAGCACTCTACTACTGAGCTACACTAACCAGCTCCAATCTTGTAACTTATTATTTTAGACTACTTTTCGACTTAAGTTACAAAAACAGTACCAAGACTATATCCCTTCTCTCTCTCTCCACAGCTTCCTCCTCCCGATATCTTCTGGGATCACAAAACCCCAAACAGGAATTAACATCAGCACAATAATTATTCGCTACTGATGGTTTCCAGATTGCACACAACCTTTAAGTAGGGCTTTCTTTTCCCCGTTCCAGAGTCCTATCTAGGATCCTACACGACACTGGCTATTTTCTCTTTGACCGTCCAGCCTGTTAGTTTCAGCCTCTCCTCAGCCTTCCTGATTCTAACACTGTAGCAGAGTGCCAATTGGGTCAGTTTACAGAATGCCAGGGCACTCTGTGACTTAGGTGACTAGTTCCCCTGTGACTGGAGTAAACAGCATCTTGTCAAGCACGTTACAAGGCTGATGGCATCCTTCCTGGTGCAGGCCAGCCCAAGAGTCTGGTAGTAACACGCAGTGTTACTAATGATGTCCTGTGTCAGGTAAGTTCTGTCTGCCAAGTGCCTCCACTAGACAGTACTTTATTTTCTCTGAAATGGATAGAGATCTGGAGGGAGGTACTTTTTTTTTTTAATGATTTATTCATTTTTATTTTATATGCATTGATGTTTTGCCTGCCTACATGTCTATATGAGGGTGTCAGATCCCCTCAGAATGGGAACTACAGACAGTTACGAGCTGCCATGTGGGTGCTGGGAATTGAACCCAGGTCCTCTGGCAGAGTCTTAACCACTGAGCCATCTCTCTAGCCCCTGGAGGGAGGTACTTTGAGACAATGCAATACTGCTTCTTCTTTCAGGAATTTAGCACTCATCCGACATTCCCCCCCTGCAAACCCATTTACCTAATGTTGATTTTTTTTTTCCCACTGAAATTCTATTGCAAAACAACTTGTCCCTTCCCCTTCACTCGTTTCTATTAGTGCAAACTCCACTCACACTCATTTTATTCCATGGGTTAAAAATCTACTATTATTTTGTTGCTCAAATTGTTCTAGCTTTAGTCACAAGGGGCCCCAAATATTCAACAGGCTCTGATCTTTTATTATTTTTGGTAGAAGAAGGTATGCATTCCTTAGTTTGTGGAACCACGGACATTCAAAACTCACTCTACTTCTCTTATCCAAAGCCTGGCATTAACCCTTCTAAGAACCTGCGTTCCTTTACTGGAGAGGCGTTTTGTATATTTTAAAACAAGGTCTCATGTAGCCCTATCTGTTCTTGAACTCACTACATAGGAGGGGATGACCCTGAACTCTGATCCTCTTGCCTCCATCTTCCAAGCATTGGATTACAGATTACACCATCATGTCCAGCATGGGAGACAAATTTAGAAGCTAGTATCTAGATACTGTGTGTTTTGATTACTAGAGTTACTGCTTCTAAGCCTTTTGGCTGAGACAGGCACAATCATGTCTGTTAACCCATGCATGTACAAGCATCTATATTTTCTGTGCCTGTTATATATTAAAAATCCTAAATTTGCCGGGCGGTGGTGGCGCACGCCTTTAATCCCAGCACTCGGGAGGCAGAGCCAGGCGGATCTCTGTGAGTTCGAGGCCAGCCTGGGCTACCAAGTGAGTTCCAGGACAGGCACCAAAACTATATGGAGAAACCCTGTCTCGAAAAACCAAAAAAAAAAAAAATCCTAAATTTACATGGATACTTTTATGTGCATGTGGTACGTGTGTGTGTGTGTGTGTGTGTGTGTGTGTGTGTGTGTGTGTGTAAGTCAAAGGTTGACATTGGATGTCTTTATCATGTTTCTTTATTTTAATTAATTTATTTATTGTCAGGGTCTTACTATACATATAGCCCTGCTAGCCTGGAACTTGTAGACCATGCTGGCCTTGAATTTGGAGATCTGTCTCTACCTTCTCAGTGCTAGAATTAAAGGCATATACCACCTTATCTGGTTCCACCTTATTTTTTTTAATTATTATTATTTTATTATATGTATATAGGTGTTTTGCCTGCATGTCAGTCTGTATACCACATGAGTGCCTGGTGCTCAGGAAACCAAAAGAGAACATCAGATCTCCTGGAAACGGAATTACAGAAGGCTGTGAGCCACCATATGCATGCTAGGAATTGAACCCAGGTCCTCTGGAACAGCAGCCACCTCTCTACTGGACTGCTCTCAGGATCCCCATGTCTCGGATTAGATGTGCACTACGGCCTCTTTTAAAGTGGGGACTAGGGAGCCAATTCAGTTCTTTTCTGACTGAGCCATCTCTAAAGCCTTCTATTTGGATACTTCAAATCCCATAAACCACAAGACTCAGAGTCCAACTTCTTACTTCTCTCCACAGGTGAGAAGGATGGCCCCGAGGACCGGCCCCGGCATCTGTGTGGTCACAGTGCAGTCGTCACATCCGTCAGTTTCCAAGCTGCTACACTAGTCCGGTAAATACCAGCAGGCGAGTGGTTCTCCCTTCAGCCTTCCGTCATCTCCAGCATGCAGACGCAGAGGAGGTCTCTGCGTCCTTAGTGCTGTTACACATTTCTAAAACACACGTGTTCACTTGCTAGCTTTTGTATCCTATTTTGTTTGGGTTCATATACTCATATGCAAACACACATTTTCTTTGTTTATAATAAAGTGTCTGTGTGTGTGTAAGCCAAGGACAATCTTTAGTGTTGTTCTTCAGTAGCTATCTGCTCTTTAAATTTTACTTATTTTTTTAAATTTGTTTATTTATTTTGGTTTTTCAAAACAAGGTTTCTCTGTAGAACAGCCCTGGCTGTCCTAGAACTCGCCCTGTAGACCAGGCTGGCCTCAAACTCAAAGAACCACCTGCCTCCCAAGTGTTGGGATTAAAGGTGTACATCACCATTGCCCAGCTTAGTTTCCTTTTTTTTTTTGATGGGGTCTTACTAGACCAGGGTAGCCTTACACTCATGGTCTATCAGTCTCCCAGGAACAGGGTTACAGATGTGAGCTATCACATCCAGCTTGCAAAATATTATAGTATCTTAAATACATAATAAATATAGGAGATATTTAACACACTATGGGAAATCCACACAGTAGAGTAAATAATGAAGCTATGATGAAGACTGAAGTCAGTGACTTCCAAGACATAGAAGTGAATGGAGAAAGCAAAGCCACACAGCGTATGGTAACCTTGGTTCTTACCTACAAATACACATTTCTACCCATTCTGTGAAAATGAACCTTCACAGTTGAAATAGTTTTCTTTTGCCACCTGGCACTCATTGACTCTGTAAATAATGGACAACGGAGAAACCCTGTACTGTATGTAGCACATGAGGGAAGGTTTTGCTTCCTGGTCTGCCATGCCAGCTCAGCAGAGTTCTCAAGGGTCCACAGCTCCCACTCGTCAATCCCCAGCTCCTGCGCTGCATGCAGTCCACAGCACCTGGTGCCCAGCAGCTCTCCTCGACACCTCTTCCCTCAATAGCTTTCCCTGGCACACTCGGTGGATTTCCAGCACAGGAACATCACTGCACTCGGGAAACATAGGCAGGTCCTCTCTTAAGGGATCTGGGTCTTACTCTTGGGGAAGAAATGCCCTCCTCCGGCATCCTCTGAGCCCAAGGGGGGAACGCTCCTTACACCCACTCTGTCATATACTCATATTTCCTTTATTATTTCTATCAAGACCTCATTGCTCCAATCCTTAAAGATTTTTGCTTGTTTTGTTTTTGAACCTGGAGGGTTTTCTGTATAACCCAGGCTGTGCGGAAACTTACCAGCCCAGCTGGTCTCAAAACTTGCCTCCCGCCTAAGCACTGTGATTACAGGTGTGAACTGCCATGCCCAGCTATAAAGTTAACAGTCCTTTAGATTAAGCTTTCTCCATTAAAGTGACTGCTCTGTTTTTCCTACTGAACTCAGACTGCTAAAGGAGATAAAATGCACAAGTATCCACTGATCTGAAAAAACTAACAGGGTAAACCAAAGCTGGAGAGAGAGGTTGGTTGTCTACAAGGGGTCAGTATGGAGGAAGTGAGGGAATGGGAAGGATTAGTAGGACCAAAAATGTGTGGCATTCTCGACTCTTCATTGTTGTGGTTACATTCTCCTTGTTGTTTTTATGCCCTAAGGGAGCCAGGCCAAATCAGTGGTTTGTTTTGTTTTGACTTTGGATCAGGGGATCGAAACCAGTGCCTTGTGCATACTTGGCAAGCATTTTGCTACCAAGTAATTTCTTTACTCTGGGGTCTTTTGAGACAAGGTTTGATTGTAGTCCAAGCCTGCGTGGGACTGGCAGTGACCCTTCCACCTCAGCGTTTCAGCCAGGTCTAGAAGGAGTTGTAACTGTGCTCCAAATACCCACATTATCTTTCTTAAACTTCTTAATGTAAACTATTGGTTCATCTCTCTTCCCCTCATTTTCCCATGAGGTGTTTTTGTCCTATATGTGGCTCTTGTAGTAAATACTTGATTTTCTCCAAATTCACAGGGTACCTTTCGGCATTATTTATAGTGCTTCTGCCATATAAACATTCTATGTTTCTTTTCAGTTTCTCTGATTTGAGTCCTGGTTTTACTGCACTCTGACCCCTCTCTCAAGTTGATCTTAAACAGTCACTTCCTGCAGTAAGTTCCCTTTGGAGTCTCATTTCCTCCTGTGTTTCTGTGATATTCAGGATCAGTTTAGAAGAGCCCCAACTTAATGGTGTTTTTTTCTGTCATCCTAGCAATCTAAGGTTGAATTTTTGTTTTTACATTTATTTGTTTACTATGTGTGCAAGTACGAGTGTGTACTCCTGCTACGGTGGATTACAGAGGTCAGAGGGGGGACTTAAGAAGAGTAGGTTCTCTACGATATGGATTCCAAAAATTAAACTAAGGTTGTCAGCTTTGATGGGAAGCACTTTTACCCACTAATGCATCTTGGTGGCTCAAAATCTACTTTTAAAACATCATTTCTGTTTGGGTCTTAGGATAAGAGTTATGGATCTCCTAATTTTGCGGTTCTCTTTTTCTTGCAGAACCTTACAGTTTCTTATCCTTTAAATGGTACATGTTGGTTGGAGCAGTAAACAGTGCTTTCTTGGTCATACCAGTGAGGAGGATGGGTAGAATACCTTAGTTGAAATTGTTATGGGTTAAACATAAGGGAAACAGATTTTACTATTAGCATATTAACAATTCTCTCTCTGATTTCACGAATTAAAACCTTCTGTTTTAAGTGGTTAAAACTTTAAATACTGGGAGGTAGAGAGATGGCTCAGCAGTTAAGAGCACTGGCTGCTCTTCCAGAGGACCCAGATTCAATTCCCAGCAACCACATCATAGCTTGCAACCATCTGTAACTCCAGTTCCAGGGGATCTGACACCCTCACACAGGCAAAACATCGCATAAAAATAAATAAACCTTTAAAAAAGAAAAAACAAAAACAAAAGCCCTTAAATACTAAGGCTAAGTTGTTTAGCGTGTTATGACAAGGGGGACTGTGCAGAGCAGATCACTTTCTCACACCTGTCTTCTTTCCCTCGTCAACACCCAAGTGTGCCAAGAAACGTCTTCGTCAGACAGGGGGACAGGAGCAGAACCAAGAATCAAGGGGCCTCAGATGTTCCGAACAGCCTGGAACCAGGCTGGCCTCGACTTTCTGGCAACTCTCTTTCCTCTGTCTCTCAAATACCAGGATTACAAACGTGAGCCGCACTCTGGCCAGATCTGTGCGTTTATTTTTATGTTAAATTATTGACACAAGAGAGGAAGGTTTAGGGAAAGACAAGCTTTAGGATTTTTTGAAAAGTCCAACATTTTATCTGTGAGCCTAGCAGTGGTGTCACATGCCTTTAAGCTGTTACACAGAGAAACCCTGTCTCGGGGGAAAAAATAAGAAACAAAACAACTGGTGCTTGTTTCCTTTTTTGAGACATCATACACCCCTGGCTGGCCTGGAACTCACTCTGTAGACCAGGCTGGCCTTAAAACTCAGAGATCCACCTCTGCCTCCCTGGGATTAAAGGTGTGTGCCATCATTCCCAGCCACAACTGGCTCTTTACCACGGTATTTCGAGAAACACCATCTGAGTATTTAGCTTGCATTCTAAAATTTAAGTAGATTAAGTCTACATTAAAAAATAAGTGCAAATTTGAATATGTATTGAGTATTAGAGGTTTTGTGTTTCTACATTTTTTTTGATTAAGAATATCACCCTGATTATGCAAAATGGTACTTTTGGAGCTACAAACTGATGGACAGACGGGGAAAAACATACATCTGTACCCCATACTCACAGAGTTAAAGCAAGGAAGTCCAAATGTTTAAACAACAACAACAAAAATCAATCATTGTTGAACTCACTATATATAATGGAGGCTAGCCTCTAACTTGCATTAATCTTCCTGACTCAGCTTCCTGAGCGATGGAATTACAGCCATGAACCAGGACGCCAAACTCAATGGTTGGATTTAAGTGGTGAGGATGTGGAGAACAATACTATACTTTCCAAAGTAAAATGTTCAAAAAGTGTTCAGACAAATAGCAGAAATGCTAACAGTGGAGTTTAGTGGTACATCGTTTCGTCCCAGCACCAAAACAAACAAACAGCATATAACAAAACAAAATCATACCATAAAGTCACTAGGTCAGTGTTCTCTGGGATGACTTCTGGGTCTTCATTTTCTTCGAGGCATCTCAGTTTATCAAGGCTTAGAAAGAGGGAGGGGTCGGGAGAGGGAGAAAGGAAAAGCAACATTTTATAATCAGCCGTGCGTTTTACAACGGCGGGTCAGAGCTTGTCCTAAATACATCACTGAATAATTAAGAAGTCTTATGAAATCCAGCAGGCGGCTCAAAGGAGGCCAGAATTCAAGACAATCGTTTCTCTGCCAATATGTTATACTGAAAGGATGTATGTTCATTTGAGGACAGCCAGTACTGTCAAATGGAAGACCATTACAAGTAAGTTTTATACTTCCACCCCCAGGTAAGGTACTTTTGAGGAAATTTAAGTAATAACATATTCACGAGGCCCACTAGAGACTACGGTTAATTGGGGTTTTAACACTGCTCTGATCAAGTCTCCTCCATCTCCACGTACTTCCATTGTCCAAATGTCAATGATAGTTACATTACCACTGTTACTCCAGCAAGCGCCTTAAAGATCAGAGAAGAAAGTCTTTTATGCAATTGTCGCGTCCCGTTACTGGATCGACCCTCATAAACTACTTTTGGACCCTAGCACCTCTTCTGGCCTTCCGGAAAGGGATTGGGAGGTGGGAGGAGTGGGGGATGAAGGTTAAACCACTGGCCCGCGGACGGAAGAGTCCCTGGGGAGCGCAGGGAGGAGGCTGCACCCAGCCGGATCCACGCTGAGCCCTGCGGCCGCGCACTCACCCGCACACGACCTTTAGCTCTGCGGCCGCCTCCAGACTGCAGCCCAGATCCCCGGCCACCGCAGCATCCTCCAAGCCGTTGTCCGACGTCCCTCCGTCCGCCGGCTGCGCGGCTGCCTGGGGCTCGCTCAGCGACAAATCCCGGGTCCCGAGCCGGCCGCGCCACAGCTCCCCAAAGGAACGCACGTGGAACTCCCGGGTGTGCAGCTCCGGAAGCTCGTACTCTGGGAAGTTGCCGTGGCTCGCACTAGGGACTGGGTGCTGCATACCACCCGTACCGCCGCCCTGCGGGTCCTCCGCCATATCAGCCGCGATCCCTTCCGGCAAAAGCTGGTGAGCGAGTGTCGCGGGGCGTGACGGGATTTGTAGTTGCGCGCGGCTCCCGGGCGGCGGGCGGTTGCGCAAGCCAGGTCTCAGAAACTACATTTCCCGGCAGGCCGCGGCCACCACCAGGGCGCGGCTCGGTCGCTGGGGGCAGGGCTGGGTGCATTGTTCTCTGCTTGTCCGTGGGCGGCGCCGCTCGATGTGTGCTTGGCGGAGCTGACTGGTTCCTGGGATCCACAGTTACCTAAAGACTCTATCACTGGGGCCTCTCTCACACTTTCCTCAGCCCTGGTTCGTGGGGAGGTACTTTTGTCCAGTGATGTTGGGAGCTATGCTACTGCCCCCATGTCCTAGAGCGAGAGAGTCCTGGAGGGCAAGGACCAGGGGCACTGAGACCGGTTCGATCAGAACCTTCCGAAAGGCCCCGTGTGCGTTTGCATGTATGCCTTGCTGTATACATGAATAGTAATGCTTTGGAACGTCGGCTGTGCTTCACACGCGGTTCATTCTTAGCCATGATGTATATTTTAAAAACTAGCAAATAGAAGTAGCTTAAAACTCGGTGGGTCTAGATAATCAAGAAGCTTTTGCCAACTCTCAGGTGTTCCAAAGATCAAAACAGGGTGTGCAGTACAAGCCCTGGCTTGTATGGTTGTCATGTGACACATACCGTATAATTCACCCGTATAAGCTTTTCTTTCGGTGACCTAGGATATTCACAGTTGAGCAACGATTAGTTTGAGAATGTTTTAACCACTCCTGAAAAGGAAATCTGTTGCTTTTAACTATGACTTCCAGTCTTCCAACTTCAGCCAACAGCTTTGCGTCTGTAAAGGTTTGGGATCTGGGCTTTTGGAAATATGACCTCACGATGTAAACCAGGCTAGCCTTAGAGCTTATAGCAATCAGCCTACTTCTGCCTTCTGAATCCTGGAATTAAAGACGTGTTCTACCACACCCAGCTTATTTTCTGTATTTAATATAAACATATTATGATCGTTTGTAACTGGTTTCTGTAATATTGCAGAATATTTCCACTTTGTAGCAAGTTTCAGTACTTTGTTCCTTTCTTGGTTGAATTAAATTGCAGTGCATGAATATTACACATTTTGTGTTTTGAAACTGTCTTTGGATAGGCTGGGATGTAGCTCAGCTGAATAGAATATTTAGCTCACATGCTTGAAGCCCTGGGATCAATCCTCAGCACCACATAAACCCAGTGTGATGGCACACGCCCATAATCCCAGCACTTGCAAGGTGGGGGCAGGAGGGTCAGAAGTTCAAGGTCATCGACAGGTACTTAGGGAATTTGAAGTAAGCCTGGAGTACATCACATCCTGTCTCCAAAACAACAAGCCGGGCTGGAGAGATGGCTAAGAGGCTAAAGAGCTCTGGGTACTCTTCTAGAGGACTGTGTTCCCAGCACCCACATGGTAGCTCTCAGCTGTCTATAACTACAGTTGCAGGGCATCTGATGCCCTCTTCTGGCCTCCTTGGGCACCAGGCATGCAAGCAGTGCACAGATAATACACACAGGCAAAACATCCAGACACATTAAAAAAGAAAAAGAAATGCCAAGTCAAAGTAATAGGAAACAAGTTCAATTAAAACAATGAAGGTGGGGGGGGGGAGGCTAGAGAGATGTCTCAGAGGTAAAGAGCACTGGCTGCTCTTCCAGAGGTCCTGAGTTCAATTCCCAGCAACCACATGGGGGCTCACAACCATCTATAATTAGATCTGGTGTGTAAGCAGAATACTGTATGCATAGTATCCTGTAGTTTTGGTTCCTGTCCTGGATCTCGCTCTGTAGACCAGGCTGGCCTCAAACTCACAGAGATCTGCCGCCTGGCTCTGCCTCCCGAGTGCTGGGATTAAAGGCGTGCACCACCACTGCCCAGCATAAATAAATCTTTAAAAAAAAAAAAACAAAAAAAAAAAAAAACTTGGGGTTGGGAATATAGCTCAGTGGTAGAGCACTTGCCTAGCAAGTGCAAGGCCCTGGGTTCGGTCCTCAGCTCCAGAAAACAAAAAAAAAAAACCCAAACCCCAAAACAAAAACAAAGGGGTAGAGGGATGACTCAGTGGTTAAGAATACTTGCTGCTCTTCCAGAAGACCCTGGTTCTGTTCCCAGCACCCACGTTCAGCTCACAATCCCCTGTAATTCCCATTCCAGGGGATTCTGATGTTAATGCCCTCTTTTGGCCTTTGAAGGCACCAGGCCCACACATAATTCAGGAAAAACACTCATATACATAAATCTCAAAACAAAACAAAAAAGAAAGAAGAAATATCATTGGAAGAGTTTTTTTCTACATTTTTCTAAGTTATGATGATGATATATACAATATTTTGCACTTTTTTTTTTTTTGGCCTGAGTCACGAGACCCCCAAGCAAGACCACCACAGAGCCGACCTCTGATGCAAAACACACAGTGGTTTATTGATAACAAGCAAACCCGGGCTTGGTCTGTGTCCAACATCCAACACGGGGTGGAGGACGGCTCTGAGCTCTCAGGGTGAGGGGTTTCTAAAGGGAAAAACCCGCAAGCAGGGTAGGTTGTGTCATATGATTGGGTGAGGGTGTGAACCTTTGAATTTACTGATTGGAAGTTACAGTTACCATTTTGGGCAGGCCTGGACAAGTCCCAGGCTTTGTCCTTGAGCTGGCTGGCCTCACAGGTTCACATTGATCCATGCTGGTAGCTCTAAGTTGGTGAGGGGTCCCAGACAGTAAAAACTGGCTGAACCTTGAGCAGTCAGAGTACGTGCAGAAAGGGAGCTACTGCAAGGACTATGTCTTTTGTTCGTGGCCCTCCCAGAAACTGCTTGCGAAAGTCTCAGGAAACTGAAATTGAGGCCTGATCTCTGAGAGAAGACTAACAGCCTGTTATGGTGTCTGTTTGGTCCTTTCAGCACAAACACACTTTCATATCTCCTGGATCTAGCTAGGAGTGTATTTACGATAACTCTAATGTTGGATTACTATGAGGAAGGCCCTACTTTCCTCCGTCTTGAACCAAGCACAGTTTCAGTGTTATCAGGGAAACTGGAGTCCCTTCTTGAGTTCTTAGTCTCATTAATAAAAGAATTTTTTTAAAAAAAAAGGTCAGGCGACCTGTAAGGGGGCACGCAGACATGGAAGGTGGATACTATGAGGGAGAGGAAGAATTTTCTTGAACAAACTTTAATCAGGCTCCTTGGGTCTCCCCAAGTGACCTCATATTTGGCTATTGGAACCCAATGCTAGTAAAGAATTTGCTAAGCCATTTTACCCACAATGCCTTCAACCTTGAAAGCCAAACACACTCCTTTTACCTCTTTGCTATTTGTTCTGTTTCTTCTTCTCCCAATGTGAGGGGCATGGATTTATTCCAGTGAGATTCAGTTTTAATTAAAACCTCATCGACCAGTGTGGTGATGTGAATGAGAAATGTCTCTTGTAGGGTCAGATATTTGGATACTTGGTCCCCGGTTCATGGTGCTGTTTGGGGAGGTTACAGAACCTTCAGAAGGTGTGCTAGAGAAAGGCCATCACTGAGGGCAGTTGTCTAGTGTTTATGGCCTCACTCCACTTCTGTTTGTCTCTGCTTCCTGTGTATGGATGGAAATATCCCTTCCTGCTCCTGCAGCGTCTACCACATCTCCCCACTATCATGGACTTTCCCTCTGGAGTCATTAGTGTTGCATGATTAGACAAGGAGATTATTTTAAAATATAGTGTTCCAGTAAAATTTAATTTCTGTCTAACCTGTTTGTGAAAAAGAGGTAGAGAATTTTCCAGCATAAAATATTTTTTAAAAGGCAGATTGTCTAACTAATTTTACAGTTATAAATGCTTCATATAAAAATTATATGTTAAGATGTTTGTCACAAAAATGTGTCAGTCCACACAGAACTGTTTCCATGGGAACTTACTGTTACACAATTTGTAGTAATAATTTGACTATACTTATTTATCTTGTCAAAATTGTCTCAACAAAATTTAAAGACTATACATTCTTTTAAAAATAGAAATGTAGATAATGACAATTCATATTACAAATACCACTTTGTAAATAAACTTTCAATGACTCTAAGCATAAAAAAAAAAGGTCAGGCTTGGTAGTGCATGCTGTTAATCCCAGCACTTGGCAGGCAGAGGCAGGTGAATGATCTCTATGAATTCCAAGCTAGCCTGGTCTACACAGTGGGATCCTGTCTGAAGTAAGTAAATATTAAAATGGACCCAGAAGGAAGCTTGAGGACAATTTTATTAGAGTTTAAGAAGGAAAACAAGAACAGTGCAGGAAAAGAGGAAAGGTTGGGGTGTACTGTCGCTGTTTGTTTTTGTTCTTTTGGGGAGCCTGCCACCCAGCTCCCAAATAAATCACACATGGAAGCTTATTTTTTTTTTAAAGATTTATTTATATATTATGTATGCAATGTTCTGTCTGCATATATTGCTACACCCCAGAAGAGGGCACCAGATCTCATTACAGATGGTTGTGAGCCACCATGTGGTTGCTGGGAATTGAACTCAGGACCTCTGGAAGAGCAGACAGTGCTCTTAACCTCTGAGCCGTCTCTCCTGCCCAGAGGCTTATTCTTAGTTACAAATTCCCAGCTTTAGCTTGGCTTGTTTCTTGCCAGCTTTCCTTAACTTAACTTATCCCATTTACCTTTTGCCTCTGGGCTGTTCACGTTCTCTTACTTCTGTACATCTTACTCTTACTCCGCGGCTGGCTGTGTAGCTGGGTGGCTGGTCTGTGAAGTCCTCCTTCTCTCACTACTTCTCTTTTCCTCCTCCCAGATTTGTCCTTCTATGTAATCTCTCTGCCTCCAGCCCCGCCCATCCTTTCTCCGGCCTTTCTATGGGTTGTTCAGTTCTTTATTAGACCATCAGGTGTTTTAGACAGACACAGTAACAGCTTCACAGAGTTAAACAAATGCAACATAAATAAAAGTAACACACCTTAAAATAATATTCTACAACAGTGCACCATGTTGTGCTGGTTGGTTGAAGAAAGAAGGT